TTATATTATTATTAAATTATTTTAAATATATTATGAAAGGTTAAAATTTAAGAATTCTTAAACATATTTTTTGGTCATTCTACATTTTTAAACTAGCTTATCAACTAATTTTTTTTTACCAAACATATTTAATTTATCAGATAGCTTATCTATTACCAACTATTTTATCAGTTATCAGCTAGTTTAGTAAACATAGCCTTTAAGAAACTAAAAAATTACATTTACCCCCTTGAATTTTATGGTTTCACTGACAAGCATACCCCTAAGGGTAAGTGTAATACCCTATTTCACATTTGCACATAACCCACATATTTCATATAATATGGAAATCAAATATTTACACAATGGTCCCAAATGTACAACTTGCTACATTACAAAAGTAACTATAATTTTTTTCCCCAAATAAACTAAATACAAGATTTGTAAACATAACAAGTTTCAAGTACAACAATATAACATCCAAAATCCATATATGTAAAACAATCATGATCCCTTTATAATTTCCCATTTCCCTTATCTTCCGATTATGCCCGACCTGCAATGCACATTTTAAAACACAAAATAAGGGTTAGACCACGAGGTATAGTGAGAAGTTTCTTTTTGATTGATATTACAAAGTGAAAATTACAAAAACGCTTTTAGAAAATCCCATATTTGTATAAAAATAAATAAATAGTGTTTTATCAAAACAAACCTTTTTGTCGCATCTTAAAGATGAAACAATCTTATTTTTATTGCATCAACCCAATCGTATTAAACATAAAGATATCATCTTGTCGCATCTTAATGACACAATCATATTTTTGTCGCACCATACCAACTTTGTCGCATCATATAGACGCGATATTCCATTTCCTTGCATCATATTGATACGATTACATACATTGTCGCATTTCAATGATACGATAACTGCACTTTGTCGCATCACAAGAATGCGATAATTCCATACCCTCGCATTACAAGGATGCGATAAAATACTGTTCTCGCATGTCATTGATGTGATATCCTTACTCCTCGCATCATACTCATGCGATAAAATTATCTCATTTTATCATAAAGGTGCGACAACCACACTCACCCTATCATGAAGATGCGATAACAGTTCCCATGTAATCAAAGTCTCATTTTTAACATACAAAAGGTTTTGCCACCCTTATCACAGTATACGTCTCTCCTGATTATGCCACCCTTATACCATTATACGTCTCTCCTGATTATGCCACCCTTATAGCAATATACGTCTCTCCTGATTATGTCACACTTATTCCAACCAGTTTATAATTACATATCAAAACACAAAATTATGCTAAAAATAGCATATAACATCTTCAAACTCATGTATGAAACCATACGGTTTCTTCATCAAAAACATATCAAATGATGTTTATAAAAATAAAATTCACCTTGTAATAACACAGTAGATGAAGATAATAAACTCAGTAGCAACGACGGTTAAGAGCAAATAGTCAGATTCTTCTTCCTCCCTTAGATTTCTGCTTCTGTTAAGAGCAAATGGTCAGATTCTTCAAACCATAGTAAAATACGCACACCTTCTTTTTCTCTTTTTAATTACTCCCAAAACAAAAGAAAATATCATGTCACATATAAACACATATATGCACTTTTTAAGTATGAGGCAGAGATGAGTTTTAAATATTTTTAAGCATATTTTTAAAACAACCCCTCAACTTTTTGTCATTAATCAAAATCAACCCCAAACTTTAATAACCTTTAACCCGGTTATCATAATAGGTTCCCCTAATAATTTTAGAGTAAACTACGATTTTCACTCTTATGGTTTGTTAAAAACTGCGATTTTCGTCCCTGTGGTTTTCAATTTTCGTTCCATGTGGTTTGTAATTTGTTGCCCATTATTTGTAATTTACTGATGTTTTCGTCTCCAAGATTAAATCTATTCAAAATCCTCCATTTAACTTAGGGGTATTTTAGTATTTTTGATTTTTTTTCCTTTTTGGTTTATTAAATATTTTTTGGTTTTTTCGGTATTTTAGTTTTTTTATTTAATCAAACTATACATTTGTTGAAAAGGAATTGATATATGAATTTTTTTTATTTTGCTATTTTTTATTATACAATAATTTTAAACAATTCGTTGTTTCGTATTTTTGATGATTATAGTTTTAGTTTATTATTAGTTTAATTTATGGTACTAACTTCATTCAAATGCAAGTCGTTGAATATCTCTCACATGATTAAAAGATTAAATTTTTATAGAACCAAACAATTAACTATATTAAAGTATTTTTAGCAAATAAATGTTTGCGATTTTATTATCATAAAAAAAATAAACAAATAATATAATTTTTTTATAAAAAAAAATAGTCTTATTAAATCAAAAATACAAAAATATCCGAAATATATTAAATAAACCAAAAGAGAAAAATAAATCAATAAGACTAAAATACCCCTAAGTTATTTGGTCTTCGTGATTGTCACCCACTCTCAAGTTTGGTACCTTTTTTAAACTAATTACAATTTTGATCATTGTGGTTGCGATTTTGTTTCACTTTTGGTCCATCTGACTAACTATCGTTAAATAAGTTAGCTAATTACAGTTTTAGTCCATGTGACATGTTTTCTTATACACTTATATTAAAACTATAGATCACCAGAAATGAGTAAAATAATTAATAAACAAAATAATATATAAAATTTCGTATCATATTAAAGATCTTACAGATCGTAACAACAAAAATGTTTAAAATAACAAAACGAGAAAAATATCACAAAATCATTTTTGTTTTCGATTGAAAATTCTGAAATTAAATATTTCTTTTTAATTTTGAAAGAAATTAAATGGGTCTTCATTGAAATAGATTGATAGGTTGGGTTAAATGAATCTGGACACCAATCACAAGTAAAATTGTGTCCCATTTAATAGACCACATTCATAATCTTTATAACGATTTTAAGTAATTAAGGGGTTGTTTGTTTACCTCTTAATATTTTTATTAAGAGACAGTCTTTGAATCATTAAGAGATAATCTTGTTTGACAAAAAAAAGTTTTTCTTAATGGTTCTAAAACGCTCTGAATGATTTTGTATTATAAACCCCTCTTAACCATTAACCGCTCTAATTTTATTGTATACAATTAACAAATAATTATATTTCGTTTTAGACTATATCATGAGAGCCTCTTAATCATTATATATATTTTTTAATCATTTAAATACATAAAACATGAATATATTAAAAAAAACAAAACAATACAAACGTGAAGGAAAAGACAAACACAAAAGATAAAAAGGAAATCTCTTTATAGGAGACCACGCTGCGTCTAGATATTATTTTTGGACACTATCATACACATTATTTATTATTGTATTTTAAAATTACATATAAAATTAATTAATATTTGTATTTAATCCTAATTGAATTTCAAAGCTAATGAGATGTATCAAGATCCATCAGATTAATTCTATTCTAAAACACAATTTATAATTGGGTATAAGATTAAAAATGATCAAAAGTTTAGATCTTTTCTTACGCTTATTACCATAACTTTTATTCTCACACGATTATTTGTCTTTATACATACATATATATATATATTTATTTATTTATAATCATTCAATTAGCATACGTGACATGAAAAAGTCGATTGCACTTATGAATACAACAAATGTTGATACAGGTTTTCACGTGGTCGTATGAACTTTTTTCGGATAATCATAATATTTTAACATCTGATCGATTAAGATTACATAAGAATAGACATATGTCGTAGTATTTTCACATGTTTTTGTCTTTTTGTGTATTATCATATTTAGGGGTGGAGCAAACCACCAAATGTTCATGAAAAAGTTGATCAACTTGGGTTTGACTTTTTTCTATTATTCCTTCCACTTAAAATATTAGTTTTTTCGACCATTTTTAATAATTATGTTAAAATGATGAAAAAATAGTAGGTTTTAGTAGTTTTTTTATTAATCTAGATATCCAACAAACTATATGAGTTGACTAATTTCAGGACGGCCACCTACTTTGTAGGTAGCTCGAAGTCATCACATTTGAATCTTCGTGGCCACAAGGGGATTTTTATTCCTTCTTGGATTTAAACCTAGGACCTCCAGACACTTTTGACATTTGAAACCAAGCTCAAACCAATTAAACACCACTCTTGTGGTTGGTTTTTTTTTTTTTTTTGTTCCTACAGTTGTGTCATTTTGTATGCTAAAATAGAGAAAATAGTAAAGAGATAGTAAAAATCTCTAAATTAAGAGAAATCTTTAAATAGAAGAAGAAGTTGTTATTTTAATATTTTCCACCAATAGGAGGTTTTAAAAAATAAATAAATATTTTATTAAATTTTATTGAATATTTTAATAACGTAATTAATGTTAGAATTACTAAAATAAAGTAATTATTTGAGTTGAATGTAATTGTTTTAGAAATTTTGACCTATAATATACAATTTTAGAGAAAATATAACATAACTATTGGAGATGCTCTAATAAAACCAATCTTTCGAGATTGATGTAAAATTACTACATTATTAAACAACATTTATAGACAACTTATTCAACAATGTCTTAATCGTTTCAAACATCATACAAACAATGGTATCAGAGGCAGGTTCAGTGGGTTCCCGGTGGGTACTCATGCAATCATAAAAGTTTTCAGACGTAGTGTCATTTTATTTATGATTCATAAAAATATCCTTCCGAATCCATCTCTGAGTAAAACATCAGTCCAATCATGTCTACGTACCAAATATTTTTAAAAGACTGATCCTAGTTATTTTAATTAAATTGTTGATTTATTTTATGAAACCATTAAATTATTAAATACTGAAAAACATGGTTCGCAAGTAATAATATATTAATCTGACAAAGAGTAGAAATGTTTCGTAGGGTTTTCCATGTTTGAAACGTTTACAGGTTTAATGTTTTTCCATCTCCATCTTCAGAAATCCAAACCATTTATGGGTATTTAAACCAACCAAGCGTAAATAGGGGCTTTCAGTTCCTTAGCAGCTAGGGTTCTTGAATCTTCCCTTTTCCTTCAACTTTGGAAACTTCGTCCCCTTTCTTCTAAAAGGTACTTCTCTCTTTCATCACATTTCTTCATCTAATCCACTTCATAACTGTGTGTTGAATTGAACTCAACGATTTGGTACTTCCATTTTGAAGTTATTTTGATCTGGGTTCTTCCAATTTCTTCCATTTTGGGAGTTTTTATGTACGAATTGCATGTGGGATATGAGCGATTCTGTGCAGGGGGTTTTTTTTGGATCTTAGGGTTTTGTGTGATAGTTTTGCTTGAATTGCAAGTTGAATGGATTTCTTAACAACTGTTGTGCTAACCTTATTGAATCCAGTTCCAAAATTTTGTCTCAGGGTTGCTTGAGCTTTGATTTGGAGATGATTTGAAGGAGGTTTTAGAGACTGTTTCATGTAGGTGTGATGTGATAATTTTGATTTCTAGAAGAGGGTTTTTTCTGTAATCGAAGAGAAGAACAGAACATGCCGTCGACAAATGGTTACACGATGCCATTTGGTACGTTTCGCCGATCCATTATGGGCATTGGAAACGATCATAATCAAGTTCATGATGTTAACAGTGATTCCACTTCTGAATTCCATTGTGAGCTTGGATCGTTTGAACACCAAGTCTTCCGACAGTTTCGCACCCTTTCAGCTGCTTCTGCTGATGAACTTCTGTCTCTCGATTGGGTGTCGAAACTATTAGACGCATTTATTGCTTGCCAAGAAGATTTCAAACTTATTCTATTGAAAAACGAACCAAATCTTTCGAAACCTCCGTTAGATAGGTTTGTAACAGAGTTCTTCGACAGGAGTATTCGGGCACTCGACATTTGTAACGCTGTTCGTGATGGGATTGAAAAGATTCGCCTTTGGAATCGACATTTAGAGATTGTTTCGAATGCTTTCGATTCAAAACATAGGAATCCGATGGTTGAAGGGCAGTTTAGGAGGGCAAAGAAAGCTTTAACTGATTTAGCTATAGTCATGCTTGATGATAACAAGGAATCGTCATCCGTTTTCTCGCAGAGAAACCGATCTTTTGGGCGTCCTAACAAAGGGAAAGATCATCAACAGAAGTCAGGACACTCGAGATCGCTTTCTTGGAGCGTACCCAATTCATGGTCAGCAAGTAAACAACTTCAATCGATCGCTAACGGGTTAGTCCCTCCACGAGCCCACGAAATTTCTGCCACTAATGGCTTAGCCAACATTGTTTACACAATGGGTTTCGTTCTTATGTTCGTATTATGGTGTCTGGTGGCTGCGATCCCCTGTCAAGACCGAAGTCTGCAAGTCAATTTCTCTGTTCCAAGACAATTCTCATGGGGAACTCCATTGAATCTGCTTCATATTCGGATTATGGACGAATCCAAGAAGCGTGAACGCAAGAATAGCGTTGGATTACTAAAGGAGATATACCAAATGGAAAAATCGATTCATTTGATCACGGATTTGATGGATTCTGTTAACCAATTTCCATTGACAGATGAACAGAAGGAAGAAGTGCAAACTGGTGTTCAAGAAGTGGGTCGCGTTTGTAACGGTTTTAAGCATGGATTGGATCCGTTGGAGCGGCAACTGAGAGAAGTATTCCGCAAGATCATGGCTTGTCGAACCGAGGGTCTTGAAGTTCTTGGAAAGGCACAATCTTGATGATGATCAAATATCAAAAAGGAAACAGAGGTAGAAACAAGAACACCTCAAGGGTATTATGAAGTTTGTTTTGATCAGTGGACAATAATAATGGATTCTGGGAAGGTAATCTGTGTAGTTTCATCATACATTTTATATGCTTATATCTTTATTCATGTTTCATATGTTCTTTTCATTGATCTTTCTTTCATTTTGTATAATTCTCTTGTTGCTTTTCATAATTCATTCTTTCTTGTCATATATATATATATATGTATGTATATATACACACACACCCTCTTATTTTTTGTATTTACAAGCCTGAGGGTCTTTACAGATACGGACTCTCTGCTTCGTTCTATGTGGGATTTACTGAGTTCGTTTGGTTTATTTTGCCAACCGAGTGTCTTCATTCCATTTTGTATGGGATTTAATAGGTTTTTTTTTAATTAACCTGGATATCCAACCCGCTATGCTAGCCGACTAATCCCAAGGCGACCACCTGCTTTGCAGATAGCCCTGAGTCACCGTATTTGAACCTCCGTGGCCACAAGGGGATTTTTATTCCTCCTTGGATTTGAACGTAAGATCTCCCGGTACTTTTGACCTTTGAAGCCAAGCTCAAACCAATCAGACACCATCTTTAATGGGTTTGTTTTAAGATGATGAACATGTAATGTTGGGTTGGAGGGGTGTTAATATTAATTATGGACGTATGGGTATGGTGATATTAATGTAATACATGTATGATCATGGAGGGGGGTGGATTAGGTGATGGTCACAGAAATAGACAGGTTTCAAGTAGTGGTTGATTTTGGATGAAATGAATTAAATGAGGAACAGGTTGACATGATTTCTGGTTAGGCATAAATGGTTGGGGTCAAGTCCACCAATAGATATAATTATACACACACACACACACTAAATTGTATGTTTTGCCCTTGTGGTTTATATGATATAACATATCAAGTCTCCTTTTTCGAATAATTGCGAATTTCAGTTATATGGTTTGCAATTTATAACGCGTTAGGTCCTCTCTCTAACTTCATTAAAAGTTTTCTGTTAATTAGGTCAATTCAACGGGTATTTTAGTCATTTTAATTAACTCTTATAGTTAAGATAGTTTTCTAAATACCAATTGAAATTTGCCACGTGTCCCTCTTCTTGACGCTTTTGTTACTCGCTCTAATATTTTCCGGCGTTCAGACCCACTGACAACCCTTTGTTTTCCTCAACACAAACCTTGAGAACCAGAATTGTTTCCAAATGAACACTGAGGATCGCACATCAACGATGATCATCATTAATGCAAGAACTTTATAGAACTTATGTCTAAAAAATTTGTGGTATAACTCCTATAAATTAAAAACCCTAAATCAATTCAAGAAAACTAAAAACATAAATTGTTTGAACAGTAAATCGTATAGGGCACTAACTTGGCTTATGGAATTTGAGATCTAGAGGCATAAAGCAAAAGAAGAAATTTGAGATGGCTGCTGAACTCAGATGAAGACTCGTAACACTATGCTTATAGAAACTCGAGTGGGTTTGGATTTGGAGGACAATGTAGCCGCTTCTAAATTAATTAAGGTTTGGTGGCAACACATATCTCTAGACGGTTTTTACATCTGGGTGACTCCAAAGACGTTGGGGGTGATTGGATATGGAGAAAGGATGGGAAGGATTAACGGTGGGGGCGGTTTCTCCGGCATGGTGGGTATTTCCAGAGCTGAAGGAGTAACAGTTTGGGTTTTTTCTTCGATCTGGTGGCATTGCCGGAGCAAGAGGAGAAGCATAGTGGAATCATGCTTGTGTTTGAAAAGAACACACACATGTATATAATATTTAATATTATTATATTATATTTTATTTTAATAAAAATTGACGAAAACAAGTAAAAATCAAACTTATATAAACCACAAGAACCAATCACATTATTTACTCAATTATATATGTTGGTCCCCTTCACCCTACTTAACCATCATGACCACCACCACCAAAGGCTAGAACCAGGGTCACAATGTCGATGCACCAGCCGTGTTTGACCTGAATCCAATCAATTATTCTTCGAATTAAAATAAACGAACCCAATAAATCTCATAATAATAGTCACTTTTATTATGAAAGAAGTTATGGTATTTGCGTTGGACCCACATAAAAATTTCAACGGGCTAAACATATAGACAAGCATGTTATCGTGGTTTTGGCCAACCGTTTAGCATTGTAGCTGCAAATATGAACTTTTCTCAAATTTCTAGATTTTCATTTTCCGCTCTAATCATTTTTTATTTTGAAAATTACGATATTTAATATATAATTGTATTATTAAAATATTTTATACATGACTAAAAAATTAGAGTAAACTACAAGTTTGGTCCCTGTGGTTCCTTGAAAGTAACATTTTTCATTTCTTTAGTTTCGAAATTAAAAGATGGTCATTGTGGTTTGTACAAACGATTGGATTTGGTCCCTCCCTCTAACGACCGTTAAAAAAACCCGTTAGTGAGGTGTAGTTTGATCTTTTTCCATTTTCTCACATTTTTCTTTAGAAAATAAATTGCATGTTTAAATTATAGAAACCAAAATGCAATTTCATTTACCTGAATGGTTACCCGGTAAATGCTTACTGTTAGAAGTCAACATTATAATTTATTTTATCGGGTAAAATTGTAATGCATCAAAACGTATTTTATGCAACTATTTACCTGGTAAACGCTTATCCAGGTAAGAGTCGTCATCCTCACTTACCGGGTAAGACTCTCCATTCTTATCATTGCTCTTACAGGGTAAGATTCCTGCCCCTTGCCATGTTCATCCGGTAAGAAAAATTATTGAGTAAATACTTACCGGTTAAGCGTTTAGTAAACTACCCTTAATATATAATTTTATATAAATATATACAGACAAACCACATGAAACCCCACTGCCTCCCTCTGCATAAGTGCATATAACCCCACCGCCTCCCCTTGTCACTTCTCACTCCGGTGACTCCTTTCTCTCTCCGGCGAATTCGCATCCCCTTGGAAGAATCACTTTTTTGTCAACACATCTCCACTTCTGCTATAGGAACACTGCACCAAGCCTTCCTCGATCTCCTTGTTCGTCGCCTGTAAATCGAAATTCTATAATGGATTTTGCATATCTTGAAGTCTGACTTCGCTTGGACTTTCTCCTCTGCTTCTCGTACACTGGTTCAAATGGAAAAAAAACTAATTTTTTTAACGAGGAAAGGACTAAAACTAGGGTCAGATGAAATGATTAAAGGGCAAAAAGATTAGAAAGGGGTTTGATGGTTTTGGAATAGGGAATGCACAATGATTACGAGGAAGGTGGTGGTGTAGGTCTGATCATGATCTTTGTTTTTATTTTCATTTTAGTTTGATTCAATTTGATTTTGGTTTGGATTTAGGTTTAGATTAGGGGTTTAATGTTGATTTTGATTTCAAGGTTTAGGTTTAAATTTGGGTTTGATTTTGGTGTTTGGATTCGATGTTGGTGCTTGGAATTTGGTTTGGCGGGAAGTTTTTGGCTGAAGAAGAAGACCGACGATTTTGCCGGAGAAGATGAACAGGGTATACGAAAGGAGTGAAACTTCTTTTTTTTAGGGGGCACGTGTCGTTGTTTTAGTGGAAGGGTTTAAAACATTTTTTTAAGTTTTACTAATAATTAAAACCAAAACATAAAAGACGAAAATGCCCTGCGTTTAACGGTTAAGAGTTAACAGTTGTTAAAGAGAGGGGCCAAAATTTAGTCTTTTTTCAACCCACAATGGTCATCTTGTATTTCAAAATTATAGAGACGGAAAATGTTAATTTTGAGAAACCACAGGGACCAAATTTGTAGTTTACTCAAAAAATTATTTAGAGTAAATTATGATTTCCTTCCCTCTAGTTTGGTATTTATAACTATTTTCGTTTTTATGGTTTAAAACTGCTTTTTTCGTCCCTAAGGATGCGTTTGGTACGTGGAACAGGGTGGAACAGGACAGGACATGACAGACTTGTCCCACGTTTGGTGTGTTTTTAAGTGGAACTAACTGGAACTAACTTGCACACACATGGGACACGGGTGTTCACCCTTTACCCCTGGAACTAAGTGGAACAAGCTTTTTTTTACTAATCTACCCTCCATCGCACTCGCTCCTTCTCCTCCATGCTCAGACTACCCTCCATCGCACTCGCTCCTCCATGCTCAAACTGCCTCCATCGCACCCTCATCGTGCGTCCTTCCCCATCGGCGACGGCGACGGGAGGTTTGAATCGATTTCCTTCTCCATCGCACCCTCCTTCTCCTTCATCAGGTACACGATTTCCTTGTCCATCGCTATGTTTGAATCGATTTAGGTTTTGCTAGGTTTGAATCGATTTAAGGTTTGCTAGGTTTGAATCGATTTAGGGTTTGCTTTGCTTGAATCGATTTAGGGTTTGCTGGTTGTAATGCTTGAATTGATTTAGGGTTTGAATCGATTTATGGATCTGTTTGCTGTGAAATTGGGTTTTGATCGAAATTTGTCACTGTAAAATTGATTGAAGTTGTATAAAATCGATTTAGGGTTTGAATAATTTAATAATTGATCTGTAAAATTGATTGTCACAGTCGAAATTTGTCACTATAAATTTGTCACTGTAAAATCGATTTAGGGTTTGAAATTTGTCATTGTAAAATTGGGTTTTGATCATGGTGGTTAGAATTCTAGGATTGACTCAGTAGGGGTAAATTGGTCATTTTAACCAGTTCTGTCCAGTCCTATCATGTCTTACCAAACGCTGAACAACTGTCCTGTCCTGTCCTTTCCTGTTCTGTCCCGTCCTGTCCTGTCCTGTCCTGTCTGCGTACCAAACGCACCCTAAGATTTGCATTTTCTTTCTTTTATATCCCTCAAACTAACTTTGTTAAAAAGTCAATTGAATAAAGAGTATTATTGTCTTTTTTACTGTTTTTGTTTTTCTATATTTTTTATTAAATAATTTTTATATTATATATCTTATATTCTTATTATATTATGTCCCTGCCAACTCTTCCCTCTCTCCACATCCGTCGTGACCCTCCCATTCATAATTTTAGGTATACTATTTTAAATGGGATTTTAATTAAATCCATTATCTCTTTATAAGTATAAATTTATATTTCCTTATATAAACAAGAAGATAATAAATATAATTAAAAACTAATTTAAGGTCATTTACCGTCTCACCTAGGAGTGTTTATGGGTTGGGTTGATCGGGTTGAAGATATTTGAACA